TTCTAAAGCATTTTTTTCTTATTTCCTTTTTTTTTGTTTGTTTTGTTTTTTTKTGTGTGTGCTGAAGATTGAACACAGGGGTGCTTAACCACTGAGCCACATCCCCAGGCCTTTTTTACATTTTTATTTTGAGACAGAGTCTATCTAAGTTGCTTAGGGCCTTGCTAAGACACTGACTTTGAACCCACAATCCTCCTGCCACAGCCTTTGGGATTACAGGTGTGTGCCACTGCATGTGGCAATGTTTTTAGAACTAGTACTTATCCTTCAAAAATCCTGGATTTTTCCCCTTAACTCAATGTCTATGTGTAGTCCTACCATGTAATCTATCTACTATACATCCATTATTGAAGCTGTGGACTCAGAACATAGGGGCTTGCTCTTTTTAGTCTATAGACACACTGCTGAGAAGCAATACAATACATATTTGTTGATTTTGTGTCTTCTGCGTTCTCCCAGGAAGTATGTTTTTGTGAAATCTTACTAGTAGAATAGAAACCTGAAAAATTAAGGTTATTTACTTATGAATTGCAACTGGGAGAGTGTTAAGGTTTAGTATGCCTGTTGAAGCCCCCTAAAGCCCAAGGTTATGCAAGAGCAGTGGCTAAGACAAAGGTCAGCTGGGGCAGGCCCAAGCTAGGAGGAGAAAATGTCCTTTTCCTCCTTTTTAATTTTTTTATTTTATTTTTTTTTTTTTTTTTTTTTGCAGAAATTAAAGGACATTTTCTCCTCCTAGCTTGGGCCTGCCCCAGCTGACCTTTGTCTTAGCCACTGCTCTTGCATAACCTTGGGCTTTAGGGGGCTTCAACAGGCATACTAAACCTTAACAGGAGAGTAAGTGACTTTTTTGGTTCTATAATTCCCTTTTGCAAATTTCTCATTAGTGCAGAAATATTCTGGTACTGAGCCATGCAGTCATCTCTTAGAACACAGAGGAGTCAGGGCTCAGAGCTACCACACTGTCAGTAACAGTACATGGAATGCTCCATTAACAGAATATGCACTACTAGGCACCTCAATTATAGCTGATCACATGTAGAAAAGGCACGTGAGTCTGTTCTGCAGCATTGGGATTCAGACAACCTGAAACATTCTTGGCTCAGAAACTCACCTGCAATTACTGACTTCAGAGAAAGCTATCCTGAAATTTTCATTTGCTAAAGAAGATATAACTTGGGATTGCAAGGGTACCCCTGGGTCTTTGCAAAGGATGAGACCATTAGCTACTTGAAATGCTTTGTATTCTTCTGTTGCTGAGAGGAAAGCAAACTTATAAAACAATGCTTGCTGTAATTCCACTCTTGGAGATGTGTTAAACTGAATCCCAACAAATACAACAAGAAGGAAGAGCATGAGTATGATGTATGACAGGATGCCAATCACTGGATAGGACATCTGAACCGTGGCCATGGGTTCCAGGTAAGAGGGATGAGGTGAACTCTAGAGACTGTACTTTTCTTCTCCTTTTCCTAAAATGACTTAATTCCAAATTAATAATAAAAGGGGTCCACAGTATCACCTCCTATTACAACCTGCTATCTAAGTGGTCACTCTAGTTGAACTAACCCAGATTCTCACCCCTTTAAAAATAACTGTTCATGCCTGATTCATCCCTCTAGATTGCATGCAATCCTAAACATAAACAACTGCATCCACCTGAGGACTCAGGGAGACCATTAGCTCTTTATTAACACACTTCCCTCAGCATGACAAAGTAGAATCAAATGTGTCCTCACTTGATGCCAAGCCAAAGATACACTTCAGATCTAGCTTTCATAAAACCAAAAGAAAATTCAAAGTATGTAGTTGACCCAACTTTCCAGGCTCATTGAATATTTTAAACTGGGTACTGTTTGGAGTAGCTGGAATGAAATTGTATCGTTTTCTAAGAAGTTTTGAAGGCCAGGAGTTCTCCGCTATTCTCCTTTCTGTCTTCTTAAAGCSCATTTATAGGTTTATAACTTAGTTTTTAAAAAATATAATTATAGCTCAAAACTCTTGTTTGCATTTCAGGCTTATATCCATTTCATTTCACTTTTGATATTTAAGAAGTCCCACATATTTAAAAAAAAAATCCAAGTTAAGAACTGGCAATCCTGATTTTTATTCCTCCTACTGCCTCCTATTCTTTCTCATCTGAAGGAGTGCCAGCATCCACAAAGCCCCTTAAGTAATACATATATACCTCTCATTTGGCTTAATCTCCACAATCGTTAAATATGTCTAAGCCAGTGTTTCTTAAAGTACCACCTACATTACCCAGACTTCTTAGAAAGACAAACATTCAGGTCTCCTTTAGCCCCAGGCCTTTTGAATCAAACCCTGGGGATGAGGCCCCATAGTTCATGTTTTCACAAGCTTCCAGATTGTTCTGATACATACTCAAGTTGAAAATCACTTCATTAAGCCACCCTACTGTCACCCAACATTTGCAGTACTTTTTTGCTAAGTTATTTTTTATTCCTTAATTTTTTAAAATTTATTTTTGTGGTGCTGAGGATTGAACCCAGTACCTCACACATGCTAGACAAGTGCTCTACACTGAGCTAAACCCCAGCCCCTACAATAGCCTATTAGTCATTCTATTATCCTTCTTTTCCCTTCCAATTCATTTTCTTCCCAGCAAAGTAATTTTTATCCCTTAATTTGAAGAAGTCACTTCCTTATTATCTCTTAGTGGCTTTTAAATGCACTCATAATTAAAGTTCGAGTTTTCACCATGGTGTACTAGGAACCTCAGAGAAGACTTTTACCTATAGCTCTTGTGTCTTCCCAGTCCCTCCCCATCACTGATGACACTAGGGCTATKTCAGCCTTCTTATCAGCTAGATGCCCATCCTGTGGACCCTACATCTCCACTTCTATTATTCGCTAACCATCTCTCTTGTAACACTCTGGAACGACCACATACCCATTTCTTTACTTGGACACCTGGTAGTTCCCTCCTACATGATCAATTGGCATGAGAACAAGTATCCTGTTTCCTTTGGCAATATGTATTTACTCACTGCCTCTCACAGAGTGTATCCAAAGACAGGTATTGTAAAAACAGAACCATCACCAAATTTGTTGAATGGCGTATCGAATGTGATTCTCACATGGGATATGATACATACGCAGTAAACAAAAATAAAGTTAGTATTGATACTGGTTCTTAACATTAGTGTGCTTAAGTAATTCCAAATCATATATGAAGCTGGTAAATGCCACTGGCAAAATCTTATGTACATGGACAAATCACGCATTCCAAAAATTAAACACAGGTGATGAAGCTTGTGCTAGAAAAGATTAATCACTTGTTTAATGTCCTGGGTTTTATAATAATCTCTGTGCATTTCACATATACCACAGACCTTGACTATACTTTTAGTCTTGGTTGAACCATCTTTCTATCACAGAAGTAATACCAGGTAAATATCCCTTTAGGTAAGTCCATCAGATTATACCACACTTTGATTCTGCTTTTTATCACTATACCTTGGATTTTCTTTTTTAATTTTCTGTTTTGCTTTATTTTTTAATTCCTTTTTGCATACTAGATTAGGACACATTGCATTCAGGACAATTTTAGCTGCTTTCCAGCTATGTCCCTGAGCATTCATCTCAGCTAGGGCTGGCACTTGCTATCCGGTTCCATTCATTCTTGGATGCCATATTGTAATCCTTTAGGTTCAGGCTTGGTGTCAGTTCATTTGGCTGGTGAAACTCAGGAAAGGGAGATGGAGAGGTGGACAGGTATAAGCGAAGTCAGGCCCCAGGAATGGGCAAATAAGTTTAACTGGCTTGTGATCACTTTACACTGTTCCCTTTTTAGAAACCATGGAACAAATCCCCATCCCAGCAACAGATCCTGATTCTGTTTTCCACTTTCAATGATTCCCCAAGTGCCTCCAAAGGTACAGAATGATAAAGACAAGTGACATCATTTTCAGCTTCAGAAGAGACAGAAAGAATTTTCTAGGAAAGGACTATGATGGTTAATTTTATTTGTCTACTGGACTGGGCCAAAGGGTGATAAGACATTTGGTCACATGTTATTCTAGGTGTACCTGAGTGGGTGTTTCTGGATAAGATGAGCATTTTAATCAGTAGACTGAGTCAAGCAGACAGCCCTTCCAAATGTGTGTCTCATCCAACCTATCCAAGGACTAAATTGAACAAAATAAGCTGAACAAGAGACAATTCTACCCCCTCCCTCAAACTCCCTGAGCTGGAACATCAGCATGGACTTGATCCTATGCAAAACAGTGGCTGTTTACTTGAGATCACATTTTAAAGAAAAAGGTAGAAGTTATGGAAATTGCTAATACTGCAATTAATCAGATAATCTCAGTTTAAACCAAAATGACTCATTAAAAATCATCCAAAGAAATTAAAAAATTCATGTCAACTCCAAATAAGGAAGAAGGAAGAAAGGACAAAGGAAAGTGTAAGAGAAGGATCCCACAAAGGTGACAGCAGATAACTTGTTAAGCAATATAAGCTTTGGGTTAAATGAGAGAATTCACAGAGGTTATAACTATAGTGCAAAAAATTCAATACACATTTTCTAATGCATGACCATGATCATCACCCTTACTGGTACTATTAGTCAGTCCTTGCTGGTGCCAGTAACAAATTGCAACTTCACTTGTGTATGCACAAGTGTAACTCAGTGTTAAGTGCTTACTTAGCACCTGTGAGATCCTAGGTTTAATCCCAGCACCAAAAACTGAGAATAATTTGTTTTACTGTGCAAATTAAAATTCACGCAACACTGTGGCACCTGCCTTTAATCCCAGCAGCTCAGGAGGCGGAGGTTGGAGTATCACAAGTTCAAAGCCGGCCTTAGCAGTTTAGCATAGTACTAAGAAATTCAGTGAGACTTTGTCTTTAAATAAAATACAAAATAAGGCTGGGGATGAGTCTCAGTGGTCGAGTGCCCCTGAGTTCAAAAACAAAACAAAAACAGTTCTGCTCATTCATCTGACAAGGGAAGAGGWAGAGCAAATAGAACTCACATTGAGCTGCAGTTCATCTGTCCATTGCCCAATAAGACGATAACCGGGATTGGTGGTGTTCGTCGTCTGGTACTGAAAAATGTCATAACGCCCAGGGGCATCCCCATTCTTGTTAAACATCACAGGGGTGCCAGCGCTACCTGAAGAAGGCAAGAAAAAAGACAGATTTTAGAGTTAAACCAGATTCCTGTGTCTCTTGAACTACAGATGAGTCTGCAGACCTGTGGAGAAGAAAGTTGGGAAATAACACCAATGCTTAGGAGGTTTTCCCCAAGTGATCTGTGCTGTTCAAAGGCAGGTTATGTCTAAGCCTGCAAATGCTAATTATAAAACATAGGAAGACAATCCACCTCTTCTTTTGAAGAATTCCAGTTCTCAGTGTTTCTTAAAATTTCATTCCAAACTCTTCCCACGTCAGAGGAAGAAAAACTATTATTTTTCAGAGATAACATAAGTTTTGGCAAAATGCTACTGTTGTTGAATACAATTCTGATCACCGTAATGATTGTTATTATTTTAGTTTCCTTAATAAATCGTGGCCAACAAAGAACAGTTTCAAAAACAATAAATTTTAAAAAGTGTATGTAATTAAAAACAAGCAAGGAAATAAGTATGTTTATTTAAATATGTACTTTTCTACTAACTGAATTTAAAATAATTTATTTGATAGCCAGTTTAAAATGCTTAGCAGTGGGTCTAGAAGAGGTTCCATAAACATTAGTTTCTTTGTCAATCCCCATTTGGATCCTCTTAGAATGTCCTTCAGATGCAATCAATCTGACATTGAAGTCACTTTAAAAAAGATAAATGTGTTAATATATTGAGTGTATATACACACATAATTTGCAAGTGTATACGGTTGAATGAATCAAAAGCCCTTAATGTCAACTACCTGAAATAATCAGTAAACCATATACAAAGAAGGCAAGACATAAGCTTTGGTTACTTTTAGCAAAACTCATAAAAGAATAAAAACAATRTTCAGTAACTTGTATTTTTTACATGTTTCCTTAAACTAGGAGAAATWTAACTGACTTAATGGTATATATCTGATATGTGACTATAGATTTATATACTGGGTGGATATTCTTACCAGAAAACAATGCTCTACTTTCTGTCATTTATAAGTAAATTCATAGGTCATTTACCAGCCAGAACAAGATCACTGAGAAGTCCACTCTACTTCTCAATGGGGTGGAACAGGTATGGAGAAGTGTTAAACAAGAACCATGAAGCACTTTTGATAATTTTCTCATTATTGAACATAAGATATTAACACTGACAGAGTTCTCCATGTAGTTAACCAAATTTTTAGCTTCTGCAGAACTCAGGGAAACAAATATTTGCATTAATGATATGGATGAAAACATAAATCATGTGGTGATTTGCTAAGGGAGGAAACTGAGGAAGAGTGAGTTGTTAGGTGTAACACAGTGCAGGACTCAGATGGGAGTGATGGAAAGGTTAAGTTTATTACTCCAGATCTCAAACAGGTAGCCAGCTTCACAACAGGGCTAATGGGATGAGTGGGTGGGGAACAGCCTGGAGTAAGTGCTCAACCAGTGGGTGGAGAGGAAGAGAGAATGGGAGGAGCCTGAGGGTCAAAGCCTATGCTGGGTGTTACCTAGGTGGGTTTCCTATGACGGAGTGGGATGGTTAATATACAGAGTGCACAAGCCTGGTGACTTGTGGATTACATTAGCGAGCTCACCAGGCATCAASCAGAGAAAGATGTTCTAGCGGTCCAGGGTAGAAGGCCTATGTATTCATCTCTTTGTCACTGTACCCAAAAGACCTAAAAGGACTATTTGAGAGGAGGAAAAGTTTATTTGGTGCCCAAGGTTTCAGAGGTCTCAGTCCATAAGTGCCTAAACCCATTGCTTCAGGTCCAAGGTGAGGCAGAACATCATGGTACAAGAGTGCGGAGGAAGAAAACCACATAGGATATGGTTCCACCATGAAGTAGAGAGAGCATTCCATTCAATGGGGGCAAAATATAAGCCCCCAAAGCATTCCCCCAGTGACCCACCTCTTCCACCACTACCTACTATCCTACAGTTACCACCTAGCTACTCCCTATTAGTGAATTAATGCACTGTTTGGTGTAACATTCTTATAATCCAATCATTTCACCTCTAAACTATTTCATTAGGCACTTGGGGGCCACCTCATAGCTAAACCATAACAAGGCCTTTTCTCTCTAGAACATGAAAACAGGAATCGGAGAAAGACTGCTTCAAAATATGTAAGTCAAGGATGACAAGACTGGAGAGCAAGATGATATGAGGCTGCATTCCTATGAGAGAGTTATCACACCATGTTAACCAGACAGGAGGAGGAATGTTTAAAATAGATATAGAAAATAGTTATAGAAACATAAGACAATACTTGAAGAAACAAGCATGAAGTCAGAAGTGGCCCCATACAAATGATCATTCAACATAAGGATAAAGTTAAAATGAGAGCCAGAAAGAGGGCAATATATGGGGTCCTAAGAAGCCTACCATACCAAGCTGGAAACTCATGGTGACAGTGACCTCCAGGCAACATGGGCTCAACATCACAGGTAGGATAGAGGAACAGCCAAGCAAATGCACACCATCCTACAATTTTATGATACCACTGGATATTAAAGAAAAGTTTTAAAAAATCAGCTTGTAGTAGGCTGAATAATGATCCAAGTAGGTCCAAGTCCTAATTTGCAGAACCTGAAATGTCACTTTCTGTAGCAAAAGGGTCTTTGCTGAAAATATTAATTAAGGACCATGATATGGAAGATTGTTCTGGATAATATGGGAAGGCCCAGTGCAATCACAGAAGTCCACATGAGAGGGAGGCAGGAGTAAAAGGTGGAAGATGTGATGATGGAAACAGGAAGTTGGAGTGATATGAGGCCTGGGTCACAAGCCAAGTGGCCTCCAGGAGCTACAAAAGGCTAGAGGACAGACTTTCCCCGAGTCTCCTGAAGGGACCAGCCATGTCTTCACCTTAAATTCAAGTTAAGAGAAGCCTATGTTGGACTTGCCAGCAGCAGAACTGTAAGATAAAGCATGGTCATTGTTTAAGCCATCAAGTTTGCAGTGATCTTCTTATGGTAGGAGTGGCCAATGAAAATGTAGCTGGAGGAGACAGAGCATCCAACTTCCTAATTTTATAGGTGAGGAAGCATAGGCATTTCTTAAAAAAAGGTAAGTCACTTGTTCTAGTCACCCAGCTACTTACACTAGAACAGTGCTTGGTAACTGGTTTTGGAATTCTCTTGAATGGGTTTAAATTCCAAGTTTACCACTTAACTGAAGTTTGGCCTCTGTTAAGGTCTCACTTTCTAGCACTCATATTACATTTCTCATAGAGTGAGGATGTACTTGGTTCTGTGCCTTTTACATAGTAAAAGCTTAATAGATAACGATTTTTCTTCTTGTTGTTGCTTCATTTGCTGATATTTTGAAACCAGACAGAACACATGCCTTCAGTTAGTCTTCAGTTTGGTCTTTTCCAGGGCACCAATGCTGCCTCTGTTAACTGGTATCTAATTTAAATGTCTCTACTGCTAGAAAAAAGTTGTTTGTTTTTTTTTTTTTTCCCATATAACAGGTTAGAGCCCAGTTTGGAAGTGGGAACTAATCTCCTATGAACAACACTGATTTGGTCTCACCAGTCAGTGTCACTGGTTAAATCTGGTTAAACAGCCAAAGGCACTGTTTTAATTTCTTTCTTCTCTGTGTTACTGAGACATCATTCCTGCAGACTACAAAAGCACCCACTTTATCCTAACAGATCTTGTAAGCTCCATGTATAAATCAACACAAACCTTCCCAGTGTAGGGAGAAAACAAAAGCCACATCAACAACAACAACAACAAAAAAGGTTTAAATATTGGCTTCCTGCTTTCAGCAAGTCTTCTAAGTCTTTAAGCAGAAAAAAATGAAATCTGGATTTCACATTATTAGCAAGAAACAAGAATCCTGTTGTTTCACACTAATAACATGCAGATATTCACCTTTTTTTTCCCCACACTGGATACTAGGATTTATGTTCTGCTTTGCTATAAATTCTACAGCTTCGATTCATTCAATAATACAAGTGGAGTTTTTCATTGACTTGGAGAGGAGAAAGAATATAGGACCCTAGGACTCCAGAGACACTCAAGAACATGGCCTAAATATTCACTGGAATGGGACAGGTCACCTAAATCTTCCTCCTCCTCACAATCTTTGTTAGAAGAAATGATTGTTGTCTTGCCCTTTCCAGAGCAAGCTGTGTTTAAAAAAATCCAGATTGAAGAGCTGGATACTTTAAGTGATGACTTGTAATGGCATATAGTGCAGCCTTGACCTCCTGGATGGGTTCTATATACTGCAACTGGGTTATTATCTCTAGTTTCCCCCCCCCAACTCTTTTTTAACGGAACCCCTGAACTTCTTGAAAGAGAAAAAACAGACTTTGTATTCAATGAACTTTATATTTAAAAAGAAAATCAAAGAAGTCCTGAGAGAACAAAAGAGATGGGGAGGGGCGATGATCACTGCAGAGATTTCTACAAGGTGTTATGTCTAGAATACAGGTATGCTTGGGCAAAAGAAATAGGGATACCTGATTAGATGGGTGGCAGAGAAGAGAGTGTACACATGACTGAAAACCCCACTAGGTGAGAAGATGTGAATAAAATTGTTTTCTTCCTGAATAGAGAAGGACTGGGGATTCAGACTGCCCTGATGATGAAAAGATCCCCTCCGTCAAGTGAACTGCCTGGCAGGTTTTCTGTTCTCATTTTACCACCCCATGCAAAGAGTCCAGAAATGCTGCACTGATACGAGTTCCTGTTATCCCTTTCAGCTCAGCAAATAACCCTAAATCTTAGCACTCAAGGCAATGAAATCATGGATTTGGTAATTAGGTCAGGACCCAATGGAGGTAGTACATCTAGAAGACCATGTACATCAGTTTGAAGCAATTAGAAGCTCACATGCAGGATAATTGAGATGGGCTGTAAGGTGGGATCTCAGCTGTGGCTGTGACTAGAGCATCTATGAGGGTGACATTTTGTCTTTTTATCAGCATAATAATTGTGTTTGTATTATTTGTAGAGAACCATGCAGAGCTCTATTACTTTTTGTGCAATGAGAAGTCACGTGATGTCACTTCCAAATTAGTCACAGCCTCACCCAGATTCAAAGGGATGGAACACAAACCTCATCTCTCAATGAGGGAAAGCTAACATCATGCTCCAAGAAAGCATGTGAGATGTGACATCTTTACAAAATATCTCCTACCTCAATTTCTCCTGAAATGAGAAAACATAGATCCAGACATGCATTCATTCATTTCATTTCCCCTCCCCCCCCTCCCTCTCCCTCTCCCTCTCCCTCTCTCTCTCTCTCTCTCTCGTGGTGCTAGGAATTGAAACCAGGGCTTGGTGCACATAGGGCAAGACCTCCACCAACTGAGCTATATCCCCAACCCAAGACATACTTTAAACACATTATTATATCAAGATTTTATATCCAGGCACCAAATCTGTTAAAGTTGCATTTCCAAGTATTATTATCTGGTCATATGGGTCAACATACCAATAACTATAGTGAATTTTGGCTTGGGATTTTGCATTCATTTGGGAAGCAGAGAAAGGTGGTTTGGAATGAAGAAGAGTCATCCTTTTCCCCTCCATTCATAAGAGTAGGTGAAGTATTTGGTGAAGTGGTAGTAATACTTCATGGATACTCTACTATCATTTTCTAAATTGAAGGTCAGAGTTATTAAATTGTACTCTATTGGTCTGAAACAAAATTCCTAGGGATAAATGGAATTTCTTACTAAATTAAGAGGAGCACAATGAAGCATATTGAGACAAAGAACAATCAAAATCCTAAACATAGGAAAGGAAGACTAAATTCTCTATAATGGCCTGAAAAGAGACTTGGGCTATAGGTCTCTATCATTTGCTCACTGTGAAGTCTCAGAAAAAATGTTCTCTCACATCTTAGGATTTTATTTCTTTACCTATAAATCAAGAAATTGACCAACTAAAACATATCAAGTTTCTTTTCTCTCTCAACGCAACATGGGCACTTCACTGATTAAATTGTGCACAGCTTCTTATTCTTTACAAAAACTTTTGAGCCCTGCCATCAATCAATGTTGCAATGTCCCAGAATCTATAAAATGTTTCCCTACTGTCCAGATTTTTTAAAAAAAGATATTCCTCAGAAAGATACTGTGTGGGCCACAGAGCTTACAYTGGTGTGACACAGGGGGAAATTGACCTTTGCAGTGAAATCCCCAGAACTGAGATATAAGATGGACCAGCAGGACTAATGTAATAAGCCTCTCCACTCAACAACTCTGAGAATAATAGTCAAGGGGGCAAACTGTGGATGCAGGTGCCCTATGCTCTAGGAATCCACACAGGTGTACAACTCTGTCCATCATGATTCTCTTAACACCTCTGTGAATCAGCTACCTTATCTATGAAGAAGAGAAAAAAAACAATCTAAACATCATGTAGTCTTGAAGAGTAAATGAGCCAAAATATTCAAAGTACTTAGCAGAGTTTCTGGCATAGAGTAATCACTGTGATAGATAATAGATAGATATCTATCTCCCATCCCCTGTGTCTATTCTAAAATTCAGCAACACTAGTTCATCAGCAGACAAGATGGTCTTGACAAAAATGAGTCCATAGTCCATAATTATTGTCAGGGAGAAAAAACAGGGCACAATAATTAAGAAAACTTGCACTTTTTTATCACTAGTGTAAAAATGGTCACACATTTACATGGACCAGAATACAAAGCCAGAAACCAATCTCAGCTTACGTTATTTACTGCTTTGTAAGTAATGAAATTCACATTTGTTTTGTTCTGTGAAAATTGGTTTTATATAGTAAGAGATTCTGTAAGATCAGGAAGAAACTATGAAAAAAAGATGACTTGTAGTTGAAGTATATTCTGGATTTTTATATAGTCATTTTTGAAAAACACTGCTCCCCAAATTGGATCACTTCATCCAGATACTAGGTAACTCCTGAAAAATGGACACAATATTGTGAGTCTAAATGTACTTTAAATTCCAACAAGAGAAGCAAAAAGAGTTATTGTTGTCTTGTGTTAACTGTTATATAGCTAACTAAACAAGGAAATTGATGCTGGTATATTAATACTATGAAACAAAATTTATTATGATTCCTTCAATATCCCATAAATGTCCTTCTTCTGATGTAAGATAACATTCCAACATTGCATTTGATAGCAATCGTTTCTCAGTCTCCTCCCTTCTGAAACAGTTCTACCATCTGTTTTTCTCATGACTGGAGCACTTTTTCATTTCAAGACAGGGTCTTGCTGTGCCACCCAAGCTGACCTCCAATTCTAAGACTCGAGCAATCCTCCTGCCTCAACCTCCCAAGTAGCTGCAAGTATAGACATATGCCACTGCACCTCACTTAACCTAGATACTTTTGAATATACTGGTCAATGATTTTCTTAAACAACTTTGAATTGGATTCGCCTAATGTTTCCTATATATTATTGTACATTTCTTATATTATGATTTATGCATGATATTTATTTTTTGCAATAAGGCCTCAGACATGATGCTCTAACAGTGCCTGTGCACAGTATCAAGACACAAATGACAACGATAAGTTATTACTGGTTTCGTTCACCTTGATCACTTGTTCAAGGAGCTGTCTTGAAGTTTCCTCCAATTCAAAGCTACTGTTTTCACCTTAGAAATTAATATGTATCCCAATTGCAGATACTTTTGAGACTAAGAAAATACCTTATTTCTCTTTATACTTTAACCCAATAACTTTAGCATTCATCAATGATTCTTGCCAGAAACAATGATTACTGAGGCCTTTGCAAATGGTGATTTTTCATTTCCATCTTTCTGACATTCTATCATGCCACCCATTCTCTCACATTTGTTTATTCAATCCAATTATTATTTATACAAGTATGGACTTATGGATATTTACTTTCCTTTATGAATTATAACCCACTTGGTCCCAGAATTGGCAAATGAGACCTYTTCCAAGTTGATCTGTGCCCTTGTCACACAACCCCATTACTTTCTGAGTGCTCTCTTCCTAGAAAGGCAGCTGTCTTCCTAGAATGCCAGTAGCATTCTTTCTTTCTGGCACAGAATATCTGAAGTACATACTGTATTTTCTCTGCACTGGCCATGGATTCCATTTCTCGAAGGAACTCTGGTTCTTTTTCCTGGAGAATGGTATTTGTAAACAAGATCTGAGTGCCAGATGTTATTTTTTCCTGAGGTGCCACTGTCCCTAGGCCACTCAGTGGACATACCTAGGTGGTACAAGTAAATAGATACATTCAATGCATATCTGTTCCTGTAACTACTCATGTGTATGTATATGAAGAAATGCAGATATCTTTAAATATAATCTGACACAACACAGTTCATTCTACCCTTCATTTATCAGTAATTTCTATCTCCACCAAAGAGAAACCTGGCTCTCATTATCCACAATGAGAAAAATCCAACATATTTACTATCAACTGTATAATATCCATGTTATTTTTCTGTAGCCATACCTTATACAACTAAATACTATTTCTAAAAATTTCTTGCATTTATTTTTTTCTTCTTTTTCCCCTTTAGTGTCATTATATTATTAATTTGTGATATAGTTAAGAACATTTGGTAACAAATATGTTGAATCTTGTGTTCTACATTGAGGTTTATTTGACTTATTTGTTTAGTTAGGGGACATGAAATATTAAAATGTTCAAAGAGTCAAGATAATACTTAAAGGTACTGTGAAAGAAATGGTATTTCTCCCCTCTCTACCAAAGTCTTCTAAATTGTTTACCAATTTTTCTATTTATCTCTCCTCACGTCTTTTAGTTAACCTATTAATTTATAGTTGCATTCTATAGTTTGAGAAATAAGTTTGTACGGTGAAATGTGGTTAGTGTGGCAAATTACAATTACTACTTCTATTACCTTGGGTACCTATAGCAACTGTGGTCATGTGAAGGGTGGGGTACCCTCCACTCTCTCCTCTTCCATGACTGGACTGTGCATATAACGCTTGGAGTTTAAGCAGCCATACTGTCCCTTTCCCTTCCTTTCCTCTCCTCCCTTACTCACATTTACAAAGGAAGAATTTGGCTTTGTGCAAGAATTTCTCTATGTCAACATGAGAATGAACTACAACCCCCAAATATGAATTAATTCATTCACTGACTCAATCATTCAAAATTACATAGTATCTACCAGGTTTTGACACAAGCTCAAGGTCAAATAATAATGCAATTATTTGATTTATGAAACATGGAGTGTCAACCATTTTGGATTCCAGAAAGTTCAGATGATAGGGACTCACCATTGAAGTTAACATTGCGGATATACTTCAACAACTTCTTGCCCCCAGCTTGCTCCATTTCTGGGCACACACCCCGGTAATCAGCACAGAGATCCTTGTTCATGTGGTGAAGAGCATGCGCCATAGCGTATACAGCATCGATCACGAACTGAACTTTACCCTCCTGCTCATAGTTGGAATCTTTTCCAATTCTCTCCTGTCCTGCACATTAAAACAAGAAACACATGCACCAAGATTGGTGTTGAGTAGAAGGTCTAAATTTGCATTGACTTTCAATGGAGCATTAAGAAATGAAAGCTCTAAGGAATACATAATACAAGCCACTTAGCCACATTTGGCTTCCATTTCAGTTGATCTTAAGAGTTGTAGTATTTTGCTTTGGAGCACATTACACTAACTACCCTGATTTATTAGATAAATAAAATTTATTTTGGGGGGCAGGGGGTAGTAGATTATCAGGAATGCATTATCAATGAGCCACATCCCCAGTACTTTTTATTTTTTGAGAGTCTTGCTAAGTTGCTGAGGCTGGCCTTAAACTTGCAATCCTCCTACCTCAGCCTAGATTGCAGGTGTGCTCCACTTTGCCCAGCTTATTAAACTTCAGAAGCAGTACTTCAAAGGGTCACAATGACAGCTTTTGCAATAAATCAACACACTATCCAAAATATAATGGTAACATAGAAATAAGGGATTTGGAGTCAGAAACAGAGTTGCCACATTCAAATTCAGATCTTTAAAGGCCATCAGGAAAATGATAGAAAACATTCTAAATTCCACACCTGAACTCCTTTTGTATACCTACTCCCCCTACCACACTGCCTACCTGAACTGTAGGTATTATGTATGAAAGACTCAAGTTGCTCAGGAGAGAAACCCTGGTGTCTGTTTTTATTCTCTCACTCCTAACTTGTTCACGTATATTGACCTAATGGAACAGCCAGGTCCTATCAATTCTACCTCTGAAACACTGAACTGTTCTGGACACTCTACTGTTGCTCTACTTACCATTATTGGGGTCCAATGTTTGCTATCTACCTGCGATTATTCATTCCTCCATATTCCCCGTTGCAAACTGCAGAGCTGACCACCCCAACCCTGTTCTCAAAATCCTTTCTTGACTCTGCACTAACTATATTAAAAAAAAAAAAAAAAACAGAACCTAATCTGTTCCCCTGACAACAAAGAGTATTCCCTCCTTTGCCCTCAGCTGCCTAACAACAACAGACTGACATTGATTAAGTCCCCATGCTGTTTTGGAAACAATGCACTTTTGAAATTATTATCTCATCCACAGTTTTCGAKTTTCATGTTATTTTTTCTTATTCCACTCAAGGCAAAGCTGAGGCTTCTAGTGACTAAATTACCTTCCCATGATCATTTACAGGTAGAGCAATCACAAAGACTTAGGGTCCCCAGGCCCCAAAGCCCATGTTCATTTCACAAGGCTGACCCTGCCCATCCTTTTTCTATATACTTTTTCCCTTCCAAATACAGATGACTGATCTTTCTGTTAATAAGATTTTGCTCTTTTGTTTCCTGGAGATATCCTCTTTCTTTTCACCCATATAAAACACAACATAAAGGTCTCCTACACTTTGCCCTTCAATACTAATTAAATATTTTTCCATAGAACATTTCAAACTTCTATGAAAACATTCAAGATAGATTTTTTAAATGGCTACAGACATTTTTCTTCTTTCATTCTTTCTCTTCTATCCCCAGCCCTACACAACTTGTATTAAATTATGCATTAAGTACACAATACTGTTTATTCTCTTTAGATCTCATGTCCCTTTATGAAGCTTAGTAGTCATAGATTGAGTTTCACTCTCAGTGATCTTTCCACAATAATCTTCTATGGCACACATGTGCAGTGAAGAGCAATAGGAATTCCAGACCCCAAACCCTGCCCTGCAAAACACAAGACTTTTTTGTTGTTGTTGTTGTTGTTGTTAAAGTATTGGGGTACTCTACCATTGAGCTCCATTCCCAGCCATTTTTATTTTTTTATTTTGAAACAAAGTCTCACTAAGTTTCTCAGGCTAGCCTGGAACTTGAGATCCTGTCTCAGCCTCCCTAACAGCTGGAATCACAGCCATGTGCCAGTGCTCCCAGATACAAGGGGTTCTTGACATCCACTGTGTTTAAACCATGTGTATGGCTGTGTTTGTGGCTAAGTGGTAGAGCACTTGCCTAGCACATGTAAGGCACTGGGTTCAATCCTCAGCAACACCTAAAAATAAATTAATAATAATAATAATGATAATAATAATAATAATAGAAGGTATTGTGTCCATGTACAACTAATTTTTTTAATGTGTAGGTTTCCTTCCTGAAAGATTTTTTTTAGACCATTTATTAAAATGTGAAGCATAGAGGATCCAAGATGGTGGGCCAGAGGGAAGCAGACTTCTGTGTCTCTCCATGACCTAGGATTCAAGTAGTGAGAATACTGTTTCTCTGTGAGCGTTATTCTTGCTCCTGCGCAGGAATCACAGCCATCGTGCCCATGCAGGGCTCCAGGCCTGTCAGAGTAGGTCTCCCAAGTACTCAACCATGCAGGACTACCAGGTGCCTGAGCAGGACCATCAGCACCCATGCATAATGAAAGCCATCCACCTGCGCAGAAATCATCAAGGCCACTCCTAGATAGGACATCCGGCAGCTTTCCACATGCTGGAACTCTGGTTGACATCCAATGTGGACCCCTAGCTATCAAAGTGAGGCTTCTCCGGTCACCACCATCTTGGGACACTGAAGCAGCATAGATAGTCCCCTATGCACAGTAGCCTACGTGCACCCAAGAACCTCACACAGGCTCTGAAGACAGCCGACAGCCACACACTGCAAGCCACAGAGCTCGTCTACTGAACTCCTTAGCCAATGCCATCACTCGGCTCCTGGCACCCAACCCAACACCCCACCACCGAAAGCAGGCATCTCCATCTTGGGTCACTTTCATCACCAACTTCAGTGAGGGAAACTCCCAGTTTGGAATTCCAGCTGGCCAGGTACCCAGTTTCTAACCCACCCCTCTCCCCTGCAGCTGCTACCCTGGCACAGTGACACCCAGGTTACCTTCACCATCCTTAGGGCAGACACACCAGCTAATGACAGACAACCCCCTCTATTGGATAAGAAAGGAAGCAGGAATGATACTAATTTCCAACCAAAACAATTCCTGTTTCTCCCTTCAAAATTTTTTTCCCTCTCCCTCTCCATTCTCCTGCCCTCACATCCCCAACATATGTGAAACCAAGTACTTTGCATGAATTAGGATTTTGAGGACTGAGACATCTTAATAGTATATTAAGCCTGTGTTGTATATTATTTTTTTCACCAATTTCTACTATTTTAACATTTTGTGTTAATGTATATGCGTTTTTGTGGTTTGTAGTGTACTATCTTCCCACTTACTTTTGTCTACCCAAAATTACTTCCTCTCCCTTTTCCTGCTACTGATCTCCCTCTTTAGATTTCTCTTTCACATTTCCTAAGAAATAACAACTCTACATCCTCACCTTCTACCTCCTCAGCGTATTATCCCTACTCTTCATTCCTGGTTCTTTGTCCACCAACAGAACCTGTAGACCCTTTTACAAACTTACTGAGTAAATTGTAGATAATAATTGAATTCACCATTTCTATACATTGTGACCAAACTGTAAACATCTTAATAGCAAACATTTGTTTTTAGGGTGTATATTGCTTATATTGGGATCTGATAACATTGTCCTTCACCTCAAAGGAGAGGTATTGGATCCCTACAGGAGCACTATAAGCCTATAGGTAAAAATGGTAATGCCTAGGATCCACAGTGCTAGAAGGGAAGACACACAGCAACATGAAAAGACAGGGAGGAAAGTGCTGAAACACCACAAGATACCACATTATTAGAATCCATGGCCAGCACAGAAGAAATTACAGAGAAGGAGTTCAGAATGTACACAATTAAATGTTCTGTGAATTAAAGGATGATATAAGAGAGCAAATATAGGCAGCAAAAGATCATTTTGACAAAGGGCTACATACAAAAAAAAGCACAGGAAGCAAAAGATCACTTCAATTGGGAGACAGAGGTTAAAAACAAGAACAAATCCTTCAAATGAAAGAAGCAATAAACTAAATTAAAAGTTCAATTAAAAGTATCACTAACAGATTAGACCACTGGGAAGACAGGATATCAGACTATGAAGACAAAATATATAATCTTGAAAAGAATGTAGACCACATGGTGTTAATGGTAAGAAACCATGAGCAGAACATTCAAGAAATATGGGATGGCATAAAAAGACCAAATTTAAGAGTTATTGGGATAGAGGAAAGCATAGAGTTCCAAACCAAAGCAATGAGCAATCAATACACTGAAATAATATCAGAAAATTACCCAAACATGAAGAATAAATTAGAAAACCAAATTCAAGAGTCTTTTAGGACACCAAATGTATAAAATCACAACAGATCCACAAAAGGCACATTATAATGAAAATGCCTAACACAGAGAATAAGGAGAGACTCTTAAAAGCCATGAGAAAAAGGAATAAGATTACATATAGGGGGAAACCCATTAGATTATGGGCAGATATTTCATTCCAGACCCTGAAAGCTAGAAGTTCCTTGAACAACATGTATCAAGCTCTGAAAGAAAATGGATGCCAACCAAGTATCATGTATCCAGCAAATTTAAGCTTTAGATTTAATGATGAAATAAAAATCTTCCACAATAAACAAAAGTTAAAAGAATTTACAACTCGAAAGACTGTACTATAGAACATCCTTGGCAAAATATTCCATGAAGAGAAACTGAAAAACAACAAAGAAAATCAGCAAAGGGAGGTATTACACTACAGGAAAAACTAATCAAAGGGGAAACCAAGTCAAGTTAAATACCAAAAATAAATAAAAATGGCTGGGAATATAAGTCATGTCTCAATAACAAACCTGAATGTTAATGGCCTAAACTCACCAAACAAAAGACGCAGACTGGCAGATTGGATTTTTTTAAAAGAAAAGACCCCACAATACGTTGCCTGCAAGAGACTAGACTCATAGGAAAAGACATCCACAGACTAAAGGTGAAAGGATGGGAAAAAAAAAAAAAAATCACACCACTCACATGGACTGTGGAAGCAAGCAGGGGTTTCCATCCTCATATCAAATAAAGTAGACTTAAAGCCAAAGTTAATCAAAAGGGATAA